ATTTACAGTAAATGTAAATACATTCTGTTGACTGTTATAGCCTTTGTAGCAGAATGCATTCATGTTTTGGGACTGTCAGGGTTTAAAATATGTCTGAATTTGTGTGTGCCTTAAGGTCAGTGTGCAGAAAACATGAGCTGATTCAGTATGAATTGGAGATGGCAGCTCAGGACCTTGCCCAAAAGAAACAACAGAAAGAAGAGCTGGCAACCGGGGTAACACACTTTCACACACTCTGGCTTATAATCTGTCTTTCTCCTCGCACGATATGTGCAAATTAAGAACCAGAAGTGGGCGTGTGTTCAAAAACACCGTTGTGATCCAAATTGTTGTGAACATAATTTAATGCGTGCATTTGTTTTTCCGTGTGTGTCTGTTTGTGTGTGAGTGCAGACGATGCGAATCTTTTCTTTGAAGGGAATGACCAGTAAATTATTTGGCCAAGAGAGCCCGGAGCAAAAAGAAAGCAGGTTAGCAGCCCTGGAGCAGAGTATTCAGGAAGGAGAGGAAACGGTCAAGGAGAAGAACACCGAGTGCCAGTAAGCACAACACTATCTTATCAACCACTTACCTATTTTGAAATTATCCCTATTTTAAATTTCTCTTCCTCACTGTTCTTCCTCTGTGTGAAAAATATAGCACATAATCTGACTCTGTTTTCTGACTGAACTGTTGCAACTGAACAACATAAATGCAAAGAATAATAACAGGAGACTAGATAATTTTTTCCCCAGCACAAACTGGTGAACTGAGGTATTTGCTGAAAGTGTTGAGAGAGAAATTGAGGTTCTGTGTGTAATTAAAAAGTAGTTCTATTCAATTTTTTTTGTTTTTTTTCAACGGAAAAACAAAAGCCAGTGGTATCATTAGAAAATACAGGAACTATAACCTAATAAGAATAAGGAACAAAGCAAATGCTGCATTGTTTTTCTTTTCTTCTTCCTCTACCTCTTCCTTTGTTCTTCTCCCTGTGCTTCTTCTCCACGCAAACAGACTAACAGTATCACGCGTCTTTGTGATTGTGCCACCAGGGAGTTTGTGCGAGCAGCATGGGATGACATCGAACATTTTAAAGAGCAGAAAGACAAAGATTTGCGTGAGGCGCTGATAAGCTACGCCATTATGCAGATCAGTATGTGTAAGAAGGTGTGGACATTTATTCTTGTGTGTATTTTGTGTATTTATATAAATTCCTAGCATGTGGTCTTTTGTTCAGCAGTACCACTCCTTAACTGTTTAGTATTTCTGTCTTGTCTTTCAATGTCTCTAAGTCACTCCTTTTCTCTGGTACTTGTGTACTGTTACAGGGAATCCAGGTGTGGTCCAATGCCAAGGAGTGTTTCAGCAAAATGTGAGCCGAACTTTCCAAAGCGATCGTACTTTGCACCAAAACTATACTCTGATTGTACAGACTAGGACCAACAGCCAGTGATTATACTGTAGTCCTGTGGAGAAAAGATGGGAACCCAAATGCTGCCTTTAATTTGTTTTGCTATACTCAGTTGAAGCACACACACATTAAAAAAGTGAAAGTGGAACAATGCCTCTTTAACGTCAAGTGTCTTAATAGAACCTTTTCCTTGATTTTCTGACCTTCGTACTTCAGACAGTCCAAATTTACACACTCATCCTTAGTTGCACTTTCATTAACATGTCCAGGAAGAAAATGTGGCGTTATCATCGCACAATGGATCCATGGGATTATCCATGCAGTATATTTCAGTTGTTAGCTCTCTCAATCAGTCACAATGAATAACACAGAGCAATATACTAGTTTGAGTTGACACAGGCTGCACTTTGCAAACAGTGGTTCATGTGACTCGTTTTAGAGTTGCCTGCCTTGATGGAAGGATCTTTACGTGTTACCTTTCAACCCTCTCCAGAATCTCCTTACATAAAGGTTTTCATACTATTTGATTTTAGGTGATTAATGGCAATAGTGATGAGTTAAAGAATGGGGAACTTGTTTCTGATAGAACTTCTAATGTTATGCTTACGTTTGTGTTTAAATTTCACATTTGCAACAGCAAGTCGAACCAAACAAAAGCAGAAGAGTGCACTGGTGAATGTTCAATTTGAAATGAACTGCAAGAAATATGACTGTAAACATGGACCGAGCTTTAGAAAGCCACTACACTTTTTACATTTCCATTTTTCTTTTTCTTTATTTTTTTAAAAGTCATTTTATGTTCGTCACACAAAAGTAATCTTTGTTATTGTTAATCTGTTGCTGACCAAAGTATTGACGACCAAGTGCTTTTATACTACAAATTTATAGTAGAAAATACAGAAGAAGGGTTGAAAAACTTCGGTTATGTGATTTTGTTTTGTTTTTTGGCTGAGGAAAGAAATCACTCTCACAATTTGAGTTTCATAGTTTAATTGTTTACACAAAATTTAACCGTAAATGCGAAAAATCGGATCCTTTATTTGCTGTCAAGCATTGTAGCTTTAATGTAACAGAAAAAAAAACCCATATAGAACTCAGCCCACTGTCAATGTGCCTCACCACTTATTCTGATATGACCTGAGTGCAGCTACACACAGATACAGACTGTTTTTTGGTTGAGATCCTCACATTAGGCTTACATAAACATACACGCATACTTGTGCTTCTTCGATGACATCAATCTGAAGGGGAGAAAAATTGGTGCATAATGGATCTGACGTCTGAATGTTGTGCTGAGATCAGCAAATAATTCTTTCCCCAGAATAAACAATTGTTTTACTGAAAGAATCTCAAATTGAAGCTTTATGTATGTTTGTTTTGTTTTTTTTCTAAATGACAAACGTGTCAGATGTAATCATTGTGTTATGACACTAATAAACATTTCCCTTTTTTGAACTTACTGTTGTGTTTTTATACCGACTGGCAAAGGAACCAAAGAGAACGGGGAAGCGGGATGAAATGTGACTGCTAGTTTTGCTTAGCATGTAAAGGTGGCTGTGGGTGTTTTGATTCTTCACGTAGACATGTTTGCTTTTCCTGTTTACATTTATTTGCCGTTAAAAGATAAGAGAAACAGGCTTTTTATTACCAAAGTCTAAAGGTCAAACCTCAGTGATTCATCTCTGCCAAGATAACTCAAAACCATCCCCTCAGGTTTTTTTTAATTTTTCCATGACACTTGCTGGTGCTCATATTAGTGTCTTCAGTGGGTACATGGGTCAAATGCATGCAAATGTACTACACAGCACACAAAATGTAGTGTAAAATTCATTAAAAATGTCAACAAACGGCCCTAGATGGTGGCATGTTGTCTTCTGTGTTTTTATATCTGAACACAGCCCTGAACATTTGGAGTTTATTAAGATTTGAATTAATGGCGCCACCTGTGGATTAATAAAAGCACACGCATTTCACTTTGGCAGAGAGGAAAGGTTTTTTGGGGTTTTTTTTTTTTAATGGTGAGGAAAGGAAAATGTTCCCCTTTCAGATCCACCTTCTGGTCGGTTGGTTGGTGTGCATGAGGTCATGTGTGGTTTTCTCAAATGGAAACCTAACATTAATTTAACATCAAAAACAGACCTAAGGCTTACATCAGTGATTTTCTGTCCTCTTCAGAAAATGATATTTTTAATAAATTGAAGCAAATTACAGACTTAATCTTAAATCTTAGCATAAGTTTATTAATGTAGAATACACAATCGAAATCATGATTAAACATATGTGGAAATCATTAAGTCATGAAGGGATAAGCTGCTGTAAGAAAACAAAACAGACAAAAAAAAATCCCTTTAGGTGTCTCGGCCAAGGCCATGGGAAGCAGGGGTACTGAGGATCCTGCAGCACATCCTGGATTCTCTGTTATTTTTATTTACTTTCCATTTAAATTCCATTAGTTTAAGAAAGTTTTAGTAGTGTATGGTGTGTGTGTATCTTGCATAGGTTAAGTTGTGTCCCTGACCACAGATTAGTGACTGCACATGAAAATGGCTATGCAAAACTGAATTTCCCATGAAACATCGTTAGAATCAGCATGCTGCTCCTACAGTACTCATGAAGACAGCCCAAGGAGGTTGGCTATTTCTTTGCTTCAAGGGAGCAGAAAACCAACCCAGAAACTAGACATGATGAAAAGTGTGTGGCTGGAAACATACTTTTGGGGTTTGGGTAATATTTGAAATTATTGAGAATATTTGAGGCCTTCCGTGCTCTGCCACAATAAATTAACCAAACATCACCTGTTATTAAGTGTTAGTTGGATCCGATGCGTTTCCTTGGCCTGTAAATTGAGCATGGCCGGATCGACAAGATATTTATGTGGCTTTCATAAGAGCCAGCTCAGAGCTGCTATTGGCTGTTACTATTCTGTGGGTAAATCATGGCGTGCTTGTTATCTGGTTACCACTGGTTTTGAAAGGAAATGAGTGTTTGAGGCAGTTGTGATAAAGAGTGAGGCTTAGGTGCAGTGTTGTCTTTGCTGTCTGGATGGTTACAGGTTTATTAATGTTTTCTGTATAAATCTGGCTTTCATCTCGCAGCCGTTCTGTATGATTTTTGTTTTTTGTTTTTTTTACTTTATTTTAAAGGCAATCGTCATATTAGGTAACATGGTAACCAAAGTACATTTTACAACATATATAATTTATACAGCTCTTATCTAACTGCTGATGATACTACCCTACCCAACTCATAGTACCATCCCCACAGCTATGACCTCAGCAAATAAGAGATAGATCCTTTCGAGGTCTTGCTGGACCCTTTATCAAAATTTGGGAAATACTTAATGAATGACACGATTATACTCATTAGTGGCACTTTCGAGTTTAAATAGTGCATGGCGGCTGCTATCATGAATGACACAAGTCCTAATCGGCACTAATCGCGCTTGATAACGAAGAGCATGCACCCGAAATGCTCGCAATACTTAACAGAGAGATACAGACAAAAAGCCCACTAATTAGCGCGGAAAGTCATGTGAATGCCAGCACAGCAACGTACCTAGCAGTCAGTCCGCCTCCCTTCATTTGAGAGAAGAGACCGCCTACCAATAAAAACCGAACCTTCTCTCCCAATCCAGACAAAGGGGACGACGGATCCGCGGCGGCGCGCACTGAGCCTGAGCATCTCAGCACCTTGGATTGATCCGACGCGCAAGAACGCACCGGCACACACGCGAGCACGCCCTCCAGATCTACCTGAAACCTCCACGCCAGTTAATTGTCATTGTTGAAGGGCGAGAAAAGGGAGATTGAACCCCGATTTTATTCGCAGCCTCGCCGTGTTCCCATGATGTCATACCTGTGGATTCTGCTATTAGGAAGCCTGCTGGCTACGCACGCCAAGGCACAAGGTAATAATTTGTTTCCAGTTAATTCAGCGCATTCTTCAGCAGAGCATTTCATGTGTTAGTGTGCATGGTGGCTTCTATCTATCTTTTTATCTGTGCATCTATCTGTCTATCTATTTATCCATCTATGTCTGTCTCTCCCCCCGTCTGTCTGTCTGTATGTCTGACTAACTGACTGTGCTGGTCATTATCTCACTGCCTCCATTTCTCCCCCCCACCTTTACTCCCCTCTGGCTCTCACCTGTCTTTCTCCTTTTCTGTCTTTTTCTCTCCTCTTGCCTTTGCTTGTGTGAGCACAATTACCACTGTGCCTTTTGCCCGAATCCCTGTCATGTTTCAATTCAATTAACCTTTAGCTGATTAAAAAAAAATCTATGTTATTATTGTTATTATCAGTTCTGGCTAAGCGAATGAAAAGCCCTCCATCTTTATTACTATATTGGGGTTCCAGCTTTGTTTCCCAGACATCATCATTAAAAAAAGGTGTGTCTTGTCATGTGGCCATTTCTTTTTGGACTGGAGTTTAGGTCCATAGGGGTGTGGTGGTTCCATTGTTGTTACATAAATAATTATAATTGATTCCCGTTTCCCTGTTTCTGTTTCAATGTGTTATTGAGCCACATCTATTCTTTTCCTCTCTGCATCTCTCGTTCTTCGTGTTTTCTCTCTCCTCTTCCTTTCCCTTCTCCTTCAGCTGGCCCATGGGCCTCTGCCCTTCCCTGCGGCACATGCAATGATTCCAGATTGTTTAAATGTGCAGTAAAACTCGCAGGAATAGAAAGAAGCATTGAGAAAAACACATAAAGTGAGGAAAAACTAAAGAGAAAAGTGGACAGCTGTTGGCAAAAGATAAAGGAACAATGTAGCTGATTGAGAGGGAAAACAAGGATACACAAGCATGGAAAAAGTGAGACAAATTCGTTTTATTATCCCTATGCAAAAAAATTCAGTTGGACGTTGGTGCGCATGGATGCAATCTGGCAAAATCTCACTCTACCGGTTATCACCAGATAAACCATCAGAGAGGAACCACCTTCACACACACGCACACTCTCTCTCTC